TGTGTTTTTTCAGATCAGGATCAAGTTAGGGATGTCTGCTGTCACCATACAGACTCAACATAGTGCTGGAAGTCCTAGCCACTGCAATTAGAAGAAATGAAAAGCATTTGAATTGGAAAGAAACAAGTGTGACTGTCATCATTGGAGATGGCATAATGTATACAGTGAACCCAAATGATTCCATTAAAAATAAAATAACAAAAATACACCCAACTGTAGGACTGATAAATGAGTTCAGAACATAGCAAGACAGAAAATAAATATCCAGAAATCAGCTGCATTTTTACACTCCACTAATGACCTTTGAAAAAGGAAACTAAGAAAAAATCTCACAGCACATTCAAATAAATATATACCTAAAATTACATTTAACTAAGAATGTAGAAGACCAGTACTCAAAAAATTAAAAGACACTGAAGAAAAGAATTGAAACCCTGATCGGTTTTGCCAAATGATTAGATGCCAAATGGCCACAGGTTCCATTTCCGGTCATAGCACATACCTGTATTACAGTTTTGATTCCTGTGATCACCATTTGTGTGAGTGCAGGAAGCATGAATCATGGGTCTCATATCATTGGCTCTAGCTCTCTCTCTCTTTCTATCTCTCACTTCCCTCCCTCCTTCCTTCCTTCCATCCTCCTTCCTTCCTCCCCTCTCTGCTCACTGTCTCCCTTCCACACTTTCTCAAAAAGCAAAGGAAAAAAATATCCTATGATGAGGATTCACACATACAAAAACAAAGGAAGAATGGAAGGGTGGGGGAGGAAGAGAAGGAAAGAAATAAATAAAAAAAGAAAAAGAAAAATAGAAAGAGAAGGAAGAAAGAAAGAAGAAAGAAAGAAAGAAAGAAAAAGAAAGAAAGAAAGAAAAGAGGAAGGAGCCAAAGAAGATACAAATAAAAGCATATATTGTGTTCACAGATAAGAAGATAACATCATTAAAATGTTCAATGGCATATTTCAGAAAGCTACAATAAATATCACAAAAATGTGTATAGAGGTACAAAAAAAAAGAGAGAGAGAGAGAGAGAAAAAAAAACACCAACACACACACTTGAGAAAGAAGAACAAAGTTGGAGGAATCATGCTACTTGAGATCACACTATATTACAAGACCAGAGTAATAAATATAGCATGGTACTGGCATAAAACACACATATAGGTCACTGGAAAGAATAAAAAAAAAATAAACCAATGCATTTATGTTCAATATTTGACAGAGGACACAAGAACATACAATGGACTAAAGATAGTCCATTCAATAAATGTTATTGGGAAAATTGGAAAGATATGTACAAAAATAAATGGAAGCAGACTACCTTCTTATGCCTTACAGAAGAGTAAAGTCGGAATGGATTAAAGACTTGAATGTAAAAATTGAACCATAAAAATTCTAGAAGAAAATAAAGCCAATACTCATAGCAATATTTTTTATTCTGATATATCTATTTGGACAAGGGAAGCAAAAGAAAAACTACACAAATGGGACTACATCAAACAAATGTTTAGCATAGCAAAGGAAACATCAACAAAATGAAAAGACAACCCACTGAATGGGAGAACATATTTTCTAATGATACAGCTACCTGGTAACGGCTGGCTTAATATCCAAAATTTAGAAAGAACTTACAAAACTCAACATTATAAAAATTAAACAATCCAATTTATAAATAGGCAAAGTACCTAAATAGATAGTTATGCAACGAGGACCTGCAGATGACCATTACATCACAAATAAAAAGATGCTGAGAATCACAGAAATAGAAATGAACATCACAGTGAGGAATCACCTCACATCTGTCAGAATGGCTATCATCAATAAGTCAATAAACATCAAGTGCTGGTGAGGATGTGGAGAAACGTGAATCCACGTGGGAATGCAGATTGGTGCAACCACTGTGTAAAGCAGCATGAAGGTGGAAAGCAGTATGAAGTTTCCTCAACAATTAAAAATCAGCATGACCTACCATTTTCCCTTCTGAGAATATATCTGCAGAAATCTGAAAGCACTGATCTGAAAGGATATATGCACGTCTTTGTTCATTGCAGCATTATTTACAATAGCGAAGATTTCACAGCAGCCCAAGTGCCCAGCAGCAGATAAGCGGAGTACATCATACACAACGGAATACTACTCACCCACACACCCAGAAAGGAAATCTTTCCTTTTGGAACAGCACAAATGGAGCTGGTGAGTATCATGCTCAGTGATGGGAAGTAAGCCAGTCATAGAAATACAAGTTCCTTATGGCTTCACTTATATGTGGAATCTAATGAACAAATTAAACTACATCAAAATAGAAACAGGATCATCGATATAGAGAACAGACTGACAGTTGTCAGAAGAGAGGGAGGTTGGGGGACTAGGTGAAAAAAGAGAAGGTGTTAAGTATAGAAAAGAATTCAAAGACACAGACAGCAGTTTGGTGATTCTCAGAGAAAAAGGGGTGTGTATAGAAGAGGGTTTAGAAAGGATAAATTGTGATGGAAGGAGACCTGACTTGGGGGGAGGGGCAAGAGCAGTGAGACACACAGTTCAAGAAACAGATGATGTATTATAGAACTGTTTATCTGAAAGCTATATAATGTTATTACCAATCTCTCCCCAATAAATTCAATTTAGAAAAATAGCACATGTGACAAACGCTACAACCTGGATGAACCCTGAAGACATGACTCAGTGAAAGAAGCCAGTCACACAGACAAATATTGTGTGACCCCGCTCACATGAGGTCCCTGGATCTGTCAGTTATAGAGACAGGTAAGATAGAGGGTAGCAGAGGTGGAATGGATGCAGTGTTGTTGTTTAGTGGGGCCAGAGCTGCAGTTGGAGAAGATGAGAACAGTGATGGAGATGACTGTGGTTACAGCAGCCCCACAATATGAATGTACTTAACACCACTGAACTGCACACTGAAAAACAGTTAAACTGTTAAATTTCATTGTGTATATTTTTCTGTGATAAAAATGTACCAACAAAAACAAGAATAGAAGGCAGTTTCCTCGGTGCTGGGAATCTGATAGAGAGCTGTTCCTTATCTGGACAGCATGGCGAATGCACGTGATAAAAGAGCACAGGACTCAACACTCACACGAGAAAATGTGCGCAAAGGGAATCAGGAAGCTTGTCCTTACTGGGTGGTTGGGTCACAGCCAATTACCTGGTTGTGAGCTTTTTATAAGATATTATTGAGGAAAACCGGATTAGATTAGCTGGGCCACATCTGCATTATCTCTTACAAATAATGTGAATCCACAATTACATTTTTTTTTAAAGGTTAAAGGATAAAAGGGGTGACCAAGATTTGGTTTTCTTGTCTCAGAGATTCAGGCCCAGCAAGTCCAGTTGGGGCCCGGGCTGAGTATAAGGAATTGCTGAGGGAACTGGGAGTCAGTGGGGTTGTGAGTCAACCACCAGACCAGTGACCTCCACAGCTATGTTCTCGTCCCATCACAGGCTTTCCTCGGCCTTTAATAAGCTGCAGTGTCTCAGCCACTCCTTATGTGATCACTAGTGGGAACAGCTCCTTCACTGTACCACATGGTTTCTTAAAGGAGCTTCCAAACCTTTAACCTTCTCACAAACACGACATGGGCAGCACAGTCCTCCCACAGTGACCCTCTGCTTCATTAACCACATCCCCCAAGTGACAAGGATGGGAGTGTTGTGCCATTCCAGGAACGCTGGGCCAGGGTCCTGTCAACAGAGCAGATTCACTTCTTGGTGTCTTGGTTGGGTTGAGAGACGCTACCCAAGGACAAGGATGAAGGAAGGCAGTGTTGTCATTGGAAGAACGTGCTTTTAATCATCTACAGATCCCAACTCCAGAAACGACACATATGCTCTGTGAAAGGTCAGGGAGGGTAAACAATTTTTCTGTGTGTACTCGGCAGCATGGTGCTCAAGTCAAGGTAATAATAATACCTTGTCTTCATATGCTCTCTCCCTCCAGAGATGGCTACAATTTATCTGTCAACTTTACCGGAAGATGAAAAAAAAGTAATGCTGGTGAGTGAAATCAACACATCCCCATTTTTAGGGGGTTAACCAAAGATGAGAGACAGAGCATTGCTCATCAAAGGTCTGACACTTTACTTTGTGGTCCAGTCAGGGAGGGTCTGCTTGTTCATCAAAGACTGAGACATTAGGGCAATAATGTGGGCTGTCATGAAAAATATTTCAGTGTCTGAACCCAGTAAAATCTTGCTCCTGTGTACCGTGACGTAGGCCAGGGAGCCACCAAATCTTGTCCTCTCCACACAGTGACTCAGGGCTCCAGCCTCCTCTGGCCTGTGGATTCAGCTGGCAATGAGCACAGACCACAGGGTAGAGGTTGGACAGAGGAGTGCTGTCAGGAAGCCCTGGGAACAGCCACTCATGGCTGTCCTTGCCTCTGGCCAGCCCTGACTCCCATGGTGAGAGAGGCTCAGAAACGCAGAACACCACAAACACCCTGCAACTTGGCACATAGGACAGCACACTCACCCTCTTGTTTCTGTACCTGAGCAGCCAGACAATGCAGTCACCTCCTTCAGGAAGAACACCCAGAGAGAACAATAAAATAAAAGTACCTCATGCCAATCCACATGGCATTTCAAAGTACTTAGAGAAAAGAAACCCCTCCCCATGTATTTCTACTTGCTGTCCAAACCCTTTGTCTTCCTTCCATTTCTTCTTCTCAAATGAAGAGAACACATCATTCTGGAGCCACCGACATGGAGCAGGTCAATGGCCAGCTGTCCACCCGATGATGACAATACGGTTTCAGGACAGAAGAGTAACTCGGACTCCAGAGAGAAATAGCAGTGGGGAGACGGGGATAGAAGTGAGAACCTGACGAGTGACCAGCGCAGTGGTGAGCTGATTCATCTTGAAGGCAGTGAGTCCTAGCACTGCTCTGTGAGCAGGACAAAAATGACTCAGAGGGGACTGGGCCAGGGGCCTGTGGGAGCCACAGTGGGTGCTGCCCTGGACCCTTCCCTCTTCTCTCCTGGCCTGGCTCTAAAGCCATGGCCTGGGCATTAGCCTCTCAAATACTGAGAAATAAACCATCTCTGGTTAGGACATGGGAAAACGCGGCCCTGGACTCTAAAGTATTGGGGGAAATCCTTCTAATGTTTGTTTTTTTTTTCTTTTCTCTTGCCAGTTTTCCCTGAAAAGCATCCTGTTATATGAAGCTTCAACACAGCTCATGGCGGGTGAGGAGTCTAAGTTCTGAGAGAACCAGAGCTTCTAGCAGAAGGAACAGGAAGGTGGCTGAGAAGCAGAGGGAGAGGAGCTGTGGGTGAGCTGGGCTTGCACAGAGCACACCCCAGAGGCCAGCACAGGCTCTGCACATGGTGGTGCTGAGGTCACCCCCAGAGCTGCTGAGGTGTATGCTTCATATGCTCCACAGCCTGACACAGTGGGCTCTCACCTCTGCCACCCAGTGGTGGGAAGACAGACTGTGGAGCCTGCCCAGTAGGGGCAGCGCATCCATGCCCAGCCTCATGTGAAGTCTGGAAGGAGAAAGGAACCGCATGTGAAAAGGCAGAGGTCAAGGGCAAGAGGCCAGGGCTGTAGAGCCCCAGCCTGCAGACCCACTACACCCTGCGCTTTAATTACAAGCACAAGCTCATTTTTGCCAATAGCACAACATTTTTGCAACAGTAAGAATTGTAGGTTTGCCTTTGAAGAAAAAACTAAGTCAAATTACATTAGAGATTTCAATGTTGGTTTGTCACATCTTTGATAGGTATTAGCTGAACCCAATGTAGTCATCATTTCACAGTGTGTGTAAATCATACCATTGTGCTCTCTGCCTTATACTTGTATACTGCATATCAGTTATTTTTCAATAAAGCTGGGAAAAATAAACAGTGCCTTACTAAATGGAAAAAATGGTTATAGATGTAGTGGAATGCATACACCATAACTAAAAGAAACAAATCAGGATACACAGGTAATAAATAGTATCCTCTTGCCCTGGAGACAATGCTCAGTATTGAGCATTGATCTAGGAACCAGGAGGTCATGCATGGAGTCCACTTCAGGTCACATGCCCTGGCTGTGGGTCCAACCCCAGTAGGGGGCTTTTAGGATGAAGCTGATCAATGATTCTTTCTCATCCATATTATTAGTTTTTTAAATATATTTTATTGATTTTTTTTACAGAGAGGGATAGAGTTAAAAACATCCATGAGAGAGAATCATTGATCTGCTGCCTCTTGCACAACCCCTACTGCAGATGTGCCCGCAACCAAGTACATGCCCTTGACTGGAATCGAACCTGGGACCTTTCAGTTCACAAGTCTAAGCTCTATCCATTGAGCCAAACCGGTTTCGGCTCATCCATATTATTATCTCTCTTTCCCTCTTCATCTCTGAAGTCAATACAAATATATTAAAATAAATAAATAAATAAATAAATAAATAATATCACCTCAAAATGGTATTTTAATATATAAATTTACAAAAGACCAAAGGAAATAATTTGAAATGTTCACAATGGTTAACCTTGGATTGTGGAAATATGTTCTTTTACTTTATACTATTCTTTTTAAATTTCTACCCAAGATCCTGTATTATTTTTATAATGAGGAAAAAAATTTAAAAACATTTAAGGAACTCTTTTTAGTGTAGATGCATTTTGTATCCATGTTCAGTGACATTCCACTTATCTTTGAGAAACTTAAAAAAAGTGCTTTGGGTTGTGAAATGCCCTTTGAAAAGCATTCTTGCACTCTACCAGTTCCTGAATGAGAACACTGCTCTTTGGAGATGCTGGGTCTGTTTGGAAAAAATAATGGGGCAGGGTTGTGGGTGGGGTAGGGCTGGGGGCAGTGCAGAGCTGGAGGTGAAGTAGGGCTGGAGGTGGGGTAGGGCTGGGGGCAGTGCAGGGCTGGGGAGGGGCAGGGCTGGGGAGGGGTAGGGATGGGGGCAAAGCAGGAACTATGAAGAGAGGCTCCTGGGCAGGATGCCTCAGGTAAACAGCTCAGGCTGCATTTGAAGAATTTCACATTGGAAGGCTAATGTCTTCATAAAGGCTCAGACTTGATAAACTTCAGACATGAGCCACAGCAAATTTTCTTTTTAAAACGGTTTTTGCTATTCTTACTGCAAAATAATTGAATAATGCTATATAGATCATAAGAGGAGCATATTTATAAATAAAAGATTTTTAAAGGATTAAGAGCTCCTAGGTCACAGCTCTATGGCTCTGACCTCAGCTGGCTCTACACAGGCCAACAGGCAAAGTGGAAGGAGCACTGGCCCTGGGTTCTCATTTGATCTCTGCTCCGGATTCCCTTTGTGGTCTTAGAGATTTCACTTCCCTTTCTGGGTCTCCTAGCTACGTCTGTAGAATGAGGGTAAAATTAGAAAATCAGTAATTGTAGGTTCAGATTTCTACAACCTTCCTAAATATCTCAGCAATAATAAACCTTTCCTTGGACTAACCTTTCTGGTAGAAACACTTCACAAAAATGTAAACACATTTTTATACTACTACTCGTTTCAAAAGTACAAAATCCCTATAAAACTTATCCTAAAACATTTTGGTCGATACTATTAAACAGCCACCACCACGTGGGACACTCCAACTCTGGGCCCCTGAGAGGTGCCAAACAGGCTGGAACCAGCACCCAGTTGTGCTGAGTGGGGGTTGGGGGTTCACAGAGTTTTTGGCCAGAGGCTCTGGGCAGGTGAGAGGGAGGGCACTCACCTGGTGACACTGAGGAAGGGGTCTGGCCCAGCACTGCCCCTCACCAGCTTCAGCTCCAGCTTCCCCCTCAGGTTAGCAAGCCGGTCCAGCACACAGGAGGAAGAGGAGCTCCTGCAGGAAGCTGGCCTGGACCCCAGGCAGATGCTCTTGGACTGTCAGGAGGGGCAGCATCCACACCAGCTACCCTCGGACTCCAACGGCTCCTCCGCCCGCGGGACCCTGGCAGATCCGGGCGAGGCAGCAGCGCGAGCCAGGAAGCCCAGCGGGTCCTGTGACTCTGACTCGCGGCCCCCCCACTCTTGTCCCCCTCACCCATGAGAGAGCCTGTGGCCAGATCTGCCGCTGCAGCGCCACCTGGTGGGGCCTCTGCGCAGTACCAGGAGGCCACCCTGGCTCCTTGCTGCCAGGCCTCCTTTGCTCAGCAGTGTGGGTTAACTCACCCACCCAGAATTGCTTTCTGACAGTCTGTCCCTGCAGAATAACTTCAACACAGGACACTTCTGCATTTTGGCCAAGTCAGTGTTGAGAGCCAGAACTTTTCATTAGGTCACTGGTTTGCTCATCATCATGTAGAGCATCTGAGCTTTTAAATTTTTACTTATTAAATGTTTGTATTAAAGAAGGAAATAATTTTTTGTAGATGTGATAAAGGAGGGTATGTCATTATATTATCTATATGCCAGCTGTCAGCAACTTATATTCCCTGGGTGAAATCTGGCCTATTGTCTGTTTATATATATATGTTCCATGAAATAAGAATAATTGTTATTCACTTTTTAAAAGTTAGAAAACAATATTTCTGATACATAAACATAATATGAAATTAACATTTTGGTCTCCATAAGTAATGTTTGACTGGAAGGCAGACATGTACATTCATTTACATATTGCCTTTGGCTACTTTCATATTCCAATGGCAGAGTTGGATAATTATGACAGAGATGGTATTGTCTACAGAGCCCAAACCATTTACTACCAAACCCTTTACACAGAAGTTTGCAGACCTTTATCTTACACAGAGTAGATGAAGGCCATGTGCATTATTATTAGCATTGTATTTGGATTTCTAATGATTTTAAATGTGTCATATTGAACATTTAAAAATCAACAAAATATGCCTGGCTAGTGTTGCTCAGTGGTTGAGCATCAACCAATGAACCAGGAAGTTACAGTCTGCTCTGAAACCCAGTTATATGCTGGGGTTGCAGGCTCAATTCTCAGTGTGAGGTGTGCAGGAGTCAGTCGATCAATGATTCTCATCATTTATGTTTCTACCTATCTCTCTTCCGTCCTCTCTGAAGTAATATATATATATATATATATATATACACACACATATATATATGTATGTATATATATATATATAATAAAATAATAAATAAATAAAATGAACAAAATATGGTAAATATTCACCAGTAAAGGAATACATAAATAGTTCTGAAATACTTATATGAATAAATATTACAGGGTAGTTAAAATCAAGAAAGAATTATTTGTCTCAAAGTAGATAGATTTTAAAATTTATGATAATATAAACAAAAAAGTTTGGGAATGTTACATAAAATATACCTGTATATAAATCCAGAAAGATGAACTAATACTACATATGGTTGATTGATATATATCTATAGTAATAAGACTGTAATCTGCTAATTAGACCAAACACCCTTCCAGACGACCTTATGGACCAAGCCAGGCCTGCAAGGGAAGCCTGGGTCCTGGGTGCCTGATGGCGGCCAGTAGGGAAGCCCTGGTCCTGGGTCCCAGAGAGAAGCTGGTGCTGGCAGCTGAGGGAAGCAAGGCCTACTCTTGCATGAATTTCATGTTCCAGGCCTCTAGTATATACAATAAATAATTAAATACCTATATTAGAAGAATGATTAGAAAATTTATAATGTAAATATAAATAGAGAAATTGGACTGAAAAATGATACCTACTATTACTGTATTGTATTATTTCTTTACTATTGTTTTTTGTTTCTTTTTAAAAAAAATCTTCACCTGTATATATGTTTATTGATATTAGAAGGAGAGAAAGAGGGCGAGAGAGACGGGCAGAGGGAGAGAAAGAAAAACCTATGTGAGAGAGAAACAATGATGTCTGCCTTATGTATGTGCCCAGACTGGGAATCGAACCTGCACATTTTTGGTGTATGGAACAATGCTCCAACCAACTGAGCTACTCAGTCCTAATGTTTCCTTGTTTCTTAAAAACTGAAAATATAAAGAAAGAGGGCAAGATGTGGTCACTATACTACACTGTTTATTCTACATCTATTAAATGTTTTCTGTACTATAAATATAATTAACATAAAAAAGGAAGACAACGTGGCTGTGGAAGTATTTGTTGACAAGAGAAATCTAAATGGTTTAAATGCAATTCAAAGTGCAGTTACCACCAAAAATAAATATAATTGATGGAAATCATTGGATTCTGATAACTTATCAGAGAATCATTAAATTTGACTAGCTTATCCTAAAATAAAAATTAAAAAAAAAACCAGCCAGTAGCTTTTCTAGAATACACAATAGATATATTCATTTTTACGATGCAACAAGGAACTGTTTCTAGATAAATGTGAGACACTGAAACCAAATAAAAACTGAGTTTCCTTATAGAAACTTCATTGTTGGGGAGAAACCAAGATGGCGGCATAGGTAAACGCCTAACTGCAGCCTCACACAACAATTTCAAAAAAATACAACTAAAATACAAA